GGACCCGATACCAACATGTTCTAATTAAAATTTATTTCCAAATCCTTTAAACAATTTCAGAAAATAATTTCTTTCAAAAATTCATTTCTCGGGCTTGCGACCTCGTAATTCGATTCCGGGCATACGCCCAAGTCCCATATTTTCCTACGGACCCTCCAGGACCGTCAAATCACGGGTCCGGGTCTGTTTACCTAAAATGTTGACCGAAGTCAACTTAATTCACATTAAAGCCAAATTTTATCATTTTCACATATAGGCTTTCCAGCTACGCGTCCAGATTGCGCACGCAAATCGAGGTGATGCTAAAAGAGGTTTTTAAAGCCTCGGAACGCAGAATTTCATTTTAAAACAAGTTATGACCTTCTGGGTTATCACAAGAACTATACTAAAAGTACAAACTATTAACATTTACCATAATTTTTTTGAAACTTTATATAAAAATATACATATATATAAGTGTAATAATAAATTTGAAATAGCTAATCCTATAGTCGGTTTGGTTCGATTTTTTTCTGATTAAAACCAAAACCAAACCAAATTTGATCGGTTTTTAAAATTCAAAACCAAAACCAAACCAAACTAAAAGGTATCGGTTTTTTTGATCGGTATGGTTTGGTTTTCGGTTTGGTTCGATTTTTCGGGTTTTTATGAACACCCCTAATTTAAATGAACATAACATATTTACTTTGCATTAGACTAGACTATCTACATCACAATCTAGTGTGCGACTGTTTTTCAAACCCTACATAAACGCAAAATGCTTTGTGCACTAGTTTTTTTTTTCTTTTAAAATTCATCTTCACTGCTCTAATTAGTGGAATGTTAACTAAGCATAACATTTAAAAGAGATAAAAAATAATTTGAAAAAATACTCTTGTATTCATCAACTTAATAGGTACTTATCTTTTCAACATCCTCCCAGCTGGGTCAAGTTATTTGAATAAAATATTAGAAGTAAAGTTTTATATTCTTCCTCTTCATTTCTCTTGCCCGAAATCATAAAGCTAAAGAACCTTGGAACAAGTCCTCTCTCTGTAGCCACTCTCAACGCTAAAAGGTTAGATTTCTCTTATAAGTTTTAATTTTCTTTTTCCTTTTGCAATTTCGGGTGTGTTTGTACGAAGGAAAATTTTTAATTTTTCTTGGGTTAAATGTTTTGAAAAATATTTTATTTATCAATTTATTTTCCTCCAATTGGAGGAAAATATTTTCTTTATCAAGAGAAGGGAAAACATTTTCCAAAGCTCCTTCTCAACCTTCCCCACCCCATCCTCACCAACCCACCCCACCCCCTCTCCAAAAAAAGTNGACTCAAAATTTTATAAGTTCCAAAATTATGAGTTCGGAGGTTTATGTGTTTGGAAGTTTACGTGTTTAAAAATTATAAAGTTTACGGGTTCGAAATTCCGCGGTTTTGAAAGTTTAACGGTTGGAAAGTTTATGAAATTTGTGGGTCCGGAAGGTTGTTGGTTTTAAAGTTTATGGATTCATGTTTATTACATCTAAATTATTTATGAATACTCTTGAGAAGTCATTTTCCTTAATTTGCGTACTAAACACCAAAAAATGAATAAGATTACTACTTATTTTCCAAGAAAACATTTTCTTGGAAAATATTTTCCACGAAAAACCTCTTCCGTTATACCAAACACACCCTTCACTTTTGATCATTTATGATAGATTCATATTTTTGTCTTGTTTTACATTTTATAGTCTATGCTAGGCGATATTGAAAGATATTAATCAGGCCTTAAATAATGATAAATTAGGCAAAAAGGAAAATTATCAAAAACCCCAGGAATAATGAACAAAGAGTACGTAGAGTAGCTAGATTTCATAGTTGAGGATCGAAATTCTTAGTAAAATGGTTTATAACCAAATTCTGGTAAATAATTAGTTGATTAGATCTATCAAAGTTACATATGGATCTTTTCCCGAGAACCTCTCCCTTAAAAAAAAATAACATATTTCTATAAATGAAAATAATTTAATTTTAAACTTTTCATTTTATCTATTTTACCTTTAATCAAAAGTTTTTATAACCACACAAATGCCATCACTCCACAAAGCTTTTAAGACGGCAAGTTTCAAAAGTCTTCAATTTTTTTCTTAAACTCCGTACCGAGTCATACTACCTCGTCTAAATTGAAACAGAGGAGTAAGATATAGGGGAGACGTGATTTGGCATCTTCACTAATTCAAAGGGAGAAATTGGAATTTGGTTGAGTTGGCCTTAAAAATGGTGGATGAGCAGAAGCTTCGACAACAATGAAGAAGAAAGATGATTAGCTTAAATTAGGGCTACTTTTACAGTTGGATTGTCTAATCTATCATACCACGCCCTTTTAATTCGTGTATCCCACATATACATGATCAACATTCAAAGGTGTTTATTACATGGTATTCCCTCAACTAAAGGTATAATTGTCATGACCCAATTTAGAATTGTGACCGGCACTTAGGAGCAAGTGCTTCTAAGTAAGCCTCATCGGTAATTTTACAGATAATTGAACAGAGTTTCCTCTGTTTTTGGACCATCTCAAAAATTTTCCTGTCTTAAATCAACAACCAAACATCCTAATATCATACCAAATAATTGACAACTTGTCAATTAACCAATACAAGTCTCCACCATAACTAAACCACCAACTAACCACTAGAAATACTAATTTATCTCCAACTTTGATAAATGAGAACGATACTCAATATAAGACTATAATAACAAAAGAATACTCACGACATTAAAATAAGGACTATGGAGCGACTCTAAGAGAAAAATGAAAAGATAATAACAATAAATAAAATCTCTGCCCACGCGAACTAGTGCGAGGCTCACCGAGAAATATCAACTTGTGCGCTCTAATTAACAAAATCCTCGCCTGCGTCAGCTGCTGTCTCTGTAAAAATTATTAGCGGGGAATGAGTCGTCAGCTCAGTGAGTAATAATACTTAACCACAACCGTTTTTATTAGGGACAAGTCAGAAAATATGCTAGTATATCAAACAAAAAATAGCATAAAAATGCCCTTTCAGAAACAATAAATAATTTTCTGTCTCATCATGCTTTTCTTGTAGTATAATACAATTAACAGTTCGGTAATAAGCTCGGTAATCACTGTCTAATATCAATATTCACATTTGGGAGGTTTCAATGAGCGGATCATGCAATCGGTATAACTGTGGACTTCTTTACAAGAAGTCAAATATAACGGCAGTCCCTACTCGAGGGAAATCGGTAACGGTATGCTAGTTCTACCTTCCCACTAGCGAGGGCTATACGGTTATTTGTAATTACAAGATGCACCAAGTCTAACGAACCCGCCATTAGCTACGGGATCCTTCAATGTCTACTCCCATTTATACTTGTCTCTGTAATCCGTATATACTCATAGAAAATATTTTAAAACAATATAGGGCATTTCGGTTCTTATCAAATCATATAATTTCTTTTCGATAATAGTAAATTCAAGTAACGGTAAAACAGATCTAGTGACAACAAAAATATTTAAAGCAACAGTAATCTTCTCAAATAACTATTTTGGTATCATATCGAGTAAAAGACTTGTCCCACGTACAACTTAAAATAATCGGTAACATATTCATATTAAAAATCATGTGTAAATCATGCAAGTTATGAAAACACAAATTGCGGTAAGATTACTACTCACAGTACTCGTGCCGAAATTCCAAATGCTTCACCTCGAGCAATTCGTACAACTTCCTCCAATTCAATCTATAATTACATAATACCGGTTCATGTTAATTTCTATGTTTAGGCTAATTCATAGCTAATTTAGAATACCCAACCCTCGAGGTTCCATATCTGAATTTTAATTCGCCGAATTATATTCACCCACGGGATGAGTAATTATTAATCTATCAACTCCAACCTATTCATATAATATACCCTCTTAATTCATGAAAAGGTTTATGGATTTCTCTTAGTTTCTAACCTCCTCTTCTAACTCAGACTCAAATCCCATATTATATTTGTTTAGTCTCGCGAAGAATCATATATAAAAACTATTATTGTTTCAAAAGAAGGAAAAATATATGCAATTACCTGGGCTTATCACTGAGACTACAGAATATATATCAATGTTTAATGGAAATAGTATTTGGCACTGAGGTAACACCAGAAACCTTTCTCCTTTTCGTTTTTCTCTGTTGCTGCTTCTGTTGTGCCGTGATGTTTAGGTTGGCTAGGGGTTTCTCTTTTTTTTTTAAAACCCTTTTTCTTTTGCTTCTAGTTTGGTTACGCCAAAACCTTTCTTTTTCTTCTTTTTGATTTGGGCAGAGAAAGGGGCTTCGGCCCTTTTCTTTACTTGTCTCTTTTTATTTATTTTTTTGATTTGTTTTGTTGTTTTTTAAGTTAGTTTCTTATTATTATTATTATTATTATTATTATTATTATTATTATTATTATTATTATTATTATTATTATTATTATTTTTCTAATGACCAATATACCCTTATGAAAAATATAGGGTATTACATCCTCCCCACCTTATGAAATTCGGTCTCCGAATTTAACTCAAGTACATACCTATAGACTGAAACAAATAGGGGTACTTGACTCGCATATTATCCTCTATTTCCCAAGTAGCTTCTTCAACGGCATGATTTCTCCGTAAAACTTTTACAAACACAATTTCTTTTGACCGTAGCTTTCTTACTTGTCTATCAACAATTGCCATCGACTTTTCCTCGTAAGACAACTTCTCATCAAGCGGTATAGTTGGTGCTTCAAGCACCTGAGATGAGTCTAATATATATTTTCTTAGCATTGAGATATGAAACATTGGGTGAATAAAAGATAACTTAGGAGGAAATGCCAAACGATAAGCCACTGCTCCCACTCGGTCTAGTATCTCATACGGTCCTATAAACCTAGGGCTCAACTTGCCTCTTTTCTCAAACCGCATCACACCTTTCATAGGGGAGACTCGTAGGAACACTTTGTCTAATCTCTTCTTCTCTTATCAGCATAAGACTTTTGTCTACTTTGAGCTGCAAGCAATCTCTATCTGATCAACTGGACCTTGTCTAGAGCTTCTTGTACTGGTCAGGTCCCAATATGTTAGTCTCACTCGCTTCAAACCATCCGATAGGAGAACAACATCTTTTACCATACAATGCTTCGTACGGTGCCATTTGAATACTGGACTGGAAACTATTGTTATAAGCAAATTCAGCTAAAGGTAGATAAGCATCCCAACTATCTCCGAACTCAAGAATGCAAGCTCTCAACATGTCCTTCAAGATCTGTATAGTACATTAAGACTGCCCGTTTGTCTATGGATGAAATGCAGTACTAAGATCTACTCGTGTACCCAATGCTTCTTATAAAGATTTCCAAAAGTGTGAAGTGAATTGTGATCCTCTATCAGAGATGATAGATACTGGAACTCCGTGAAGTCGGACAATTTCGTTCATAAATATCTGTGTATCCCTGACTCCGCCATATGTAGTCTTTACTGGCAAAAAGTGTGTTGATTTCATCAGTCGATCTACAATCACCCATACAGAGTCATAACCTCTAAGGGTTCGTGGTAGCCCGGTGACAAAATCCATAGTAATTCTTTCCCATTTCCACTCTAGAATCTCAATTTGTTGTAGTAGTCCTGCGGGTCGCTGATGCTCAGCCTTGACCTACTGACACGTCAAACAACTAGAAACAAAGTTAGCAACATCTTTCTTCATACCTTCCCACCAATAAAATTGCTTCAGGTCATGGTACATTTTTGTGGATCCATGATGTATAGTGTATTTAGTGTTGTGAGCTTCTTTAAGAATAGCATGTCTCAACTCATCTACGTCTGCTACACATAGCCTGTCACCCATTCGAAGAACACCATCACTTTCAACAATCATATCCTTGCTTTTACCAGCTAAGGCCTCATCTCTGTATTTGCATAATCGTTCATCCTCATGTTTGGTGGCCTTAATGCGCTCAACTAATGAAGACTTAGCCTGAGCACAAGCCAACAATGCCTCTGAATTTCCGATACTAAATCTGATACCTGTATCTTCTAGTCTCTGAATATCTTTGGCCAAAAGTCTCTTTGCAGGGGCTATATGTGCCAAACTCCCTATGGATTTTCTACTCAATGCATCAGCCACCACATTAGCTTTTCCAGGATGATACAAAATAGAACAATCATAGTCATTGATTAGTTCCATCCAACGGCGCTGCCGAAGATTTAGATCTCTCTGCTGAAAGATATACTTCAGACTTTTATAGTCAGTATAAATCTCACAAGTTTCGCCGTATAGATAATGTCTCTAAAGTTTTAGAGCAAATACCACTGCAGCCATCTCCAAATCATGTGTAGGATAGTTTTGCTCATGCTTTGTCAATTGTATCGAAGCATAAGCAATAACACGACCATTTTGCATGAGAACACATCCTAATCCCACCCTGCGTTACAGAATACTGAAAATCCTCCAGAACCTGATGGTAAGGCTAATATTGGTGCAGTTGTTAGACACATTTTGAGCTTCTAAAAGCTCTACTCACCTTCCTCTGTCCACTGAAACTTTGAATTTTTCTGCGTTAACTTGGTCAATGGCACTACTATTCTGAAGAAATCCTGCATAAAATGCCTGTAATAGCCTGCTAAGCCTAAAAAGCTACAAATCTCTATAGGAGAAGTAGGTCTGGGCTATTTCTGCACAACTTCAGTCTTCTTAGGATCTACCATAATTCCATCTTTGGATACAACACGCCCCAAAAATGCTACCGAGTCTAGCCAAAATTCACACTTCGAGAACTTAGCATAAAGCCGATGTTCTCGCAATGTTTGCAACACATTCCTGAGATGATCCTCGTGTTCTCCTTGGCTACGAGAATATATTAGGATATCATCAATAAATACTATTACAAATTTATCCAGAAACGGCTTGAACACCCTATTCATTAAATCCATGAATGCCGCTGGAGTATTAGTCAGTCTGAAAGGCATCACGAGAAACTCATAGTGCCTGTATCGAGTTCTGAAAGCAGTCTTAGAAATATCTTCATCTTTGATTCTAAGTTGATGATAACCAGAACAGAGGTCAATCTTTGAAAAGTGGGTAGCACCTTATAACTGATTAAACATGTCATCTATATGAGGCAAGGGATATTTATTAAGTATTGTTATCTTGTTCAACTGTCTGTAGTCAATGCACATTCTCAGAGATCCATCTTTCTTCTTTATGAACAGTACTGGTGCACCCCATGGTGATACACTATGTCTAATAAAACCCTTATCTAACAAATCATGTAACTGTTGCTTTATATCCCTCAACTCTGCTAGTGCCATTTGATATGAGTGTATCGATATGGGTTGTGTGTCAGGTAGCAAATCAACACCAAAGTCTATTTCTCGTACTGGAGGCAATCCTGGTAAATCCTCAGGAAATACATCAGAAAATTCTCTCACTACGGGTACATTTTCTATACTAACTGGTTCCTTTCTTATGTTAGTTACAATAGCTAAGAGACCCAAGCAACTTTTCTTCAGAAGTCGTTGAGCCTTCACAAAAGATACAATTTGCAAGTCTCTAGGACCTGACTCCCTCTTAGAATAAAACTGGGTTCATTTGGTATCTCAAACTTAACTATCTTTGCATGACAATCGACTATAGCATAGCAAGAAGATAACCAATCCATTCCCATCAACATGTCAAAGTCAATCATATCAAGTACAATAAGGTCAGCTAGAGTATCTCTACCCTCAACCCGAATCTGACAAGCACGATACACGTATTCAGCTAATAGAGACTCTCCAACAGGAGTAACAACTAGAAAAGGATCATTCAATAGCTTGGGTTGTCTACTAAATCTCAAAGAAAAGTACGAGGACACATAAGAGTGAGTAGATCCCGGATCAATCAACGCAAGGGCATCAAATGAACAGACAGAAAGAATACCTGTAACCACTGCATTCGAGGCCTGAGCATCCTGTCTAGTAAATGCAAAAACTCTCGCCTGACCTCTACCAGCATTGCCTTGTCCTTGATTCACAGTAGCACGGTCTCCAACACCTCGACCTCTATTTCCTGTACCTGTAGCACCTGAAGTATTATGAGTAGTTTGAGTCAATGTAGCTGACTGAATAGAAGCCTGATTGAAATTTCTTGGAGGCTGAGGGAAATCCCTCAATTGATGTCCCAACTGGACACACTGAAAGCACTCTCCTTTTATAACACGACATTGGCCCAAATGTGATCTACCACAAGTCTAGCAGACTGGAGTAGTGGCATATATATGCGCAGAATTATGATGTCTAGAAAATGATGGTCCCCTATTACCTTGTCTGTAATGTGGTCTGTATATGGACTGTGAAGACATGTGTGTCCCTGTTTGAGAACCCTGTTGTTGTTGTTTTTGTTGTCCCTGATTTCCTGCTCTTTTATTTTCACTAAAACTACCACTGAAAGCCCATCCTGTCTTGGCCTTCTTACGTAAATCACTAGGTGTACGCTCCTCACGTCCCTTATTTTCAATCTTTCTAGCAAGGTCGACTACATCAGAGTAGGATAAAGTCTTCATCTGTGGGGCTACTGCAGTGTATAGATGGCCAACCAATCCATCAACAAACCTCTAAACTCGAGCTTCTTCGGTAGGCACTAACTAAGGAGCATATATAGCCAGCTTACAGAACTTAGTATTATATGTTGACACATCCATATCTGGAGTCTGAACCAATCTCTCAAAGTCTCTAGCATATTGTTGCATCAGTCTGTCTGGAAGAAAATGATTCTTGAACAACTTAATGAACTCGTCCCATGTCAGTGGTGGTGCTCCTGCTGGCCTTCCTAGCAATACCGTTTCATACCATGTGTTGGCCATATCTTCTAGTTTGTATGCTGTGAGCTCCACAGCTCTCTCACTAGAACATCCAAGAGCACGTAATGCCTTAAGTGTCCCATCCAAGAAACTTTGAGGATCCACTAAATTATCAGAACTTGTGAATTTTGGTGATTTCAATTTCAAAAACTCTTGTAGGGATACTTCCTTATTCCTAAAAGTCCGAGTTTGTGTAGGTGCTTGTGTCTGTAAAGTAGCCTGAGGAGCTGAACTTCCTCCCTGAGTAGGCACCAGCGCCTCTAACACATTCAACAACCTTGCCACTGCATCTGCAAGTAAAGCAACAGTAGGTACAACAGTTGGCATAGGTGGTGGAGCGTTCTGATCTCCCTGCTCTTGCACTTGATCTGGCATAACAGCTTGGGTTTGACCCATGTTCCCAACTTGAGGTTGAGGAACAGTCTGCCTTCTAGTTTGATGAACCCCAACTTGACCGCCACCCCGGGTAGCACAACATTTAGTACCACATCTAGCAGATGAGGGTGTGCATGTCCTAGCCATTTGCGAAAGAAATATTCCAAAGTCAATCTCAAGTTATCTCAACGCACGATCAAAGAATAAAGGAAGGGAAAACATTCCTAGATGTTCAGTAGCGTCAAGATCATAAGTATGGGTGCCTACATACCTATGAACAAGACTCTACTAAACATTGCTCGATGACTCAGAACTTAAAGCCTAAGCTCTGATACCAACTTTGTCACGACCCAATTTAGGATTGTGACCGGCGTTTAGGAGTAAGTGCTCCCAAGTAAACCTCATCGGTAATTTTACAGAAAATCGGATAGAGTTTCCCCTATTTTTGGACCATTCCAAAAACATTTATGTCTCAAATCAATAACCAAACATCCTAATATCATACCAAATAATTGACAATTTGTCAATTAAGCAATACAAGTCTCCGCCATAACTAAATCACCAACTAACCACTAGAAATACTAATTTATCTCCAACTTTGATAAATGAGAACGATACTCAACATAACTATAATAACAAAAGAATACTCACGACACTAAAATAATGACTATGGGGCGACTCTAAGAGTTCAATGAAAATACCATAACAATAAATAAAATCTCTGCCCACGCGAACAAGTGCGAGGCTCACCGAAAAATATCAACCTGTGCGCTCTAATTAACGAACTCCTCGCCTGCGTCAACTGCTGTCTCTGTAAAAAAAATTAGCGGGGAATGAGTCGCTAGCTCAGTGAGTAATAACACTTAACCACAACCGTTTTTGTTGGGGACAAGTCAGAAAATGTACTAGTATATCAAACAGAAAATAACATAAAAATGCCCTTTCAGAAATAATAAATAATTTTCAGTCTCGTCATGCTTTTCTTGTAGTATAATACAGTTAATAGTTCGGTAATAAGCTCAGTAACCACTGTCTAATATCAATATTCACATTTGGGAGGTTTCAATGAATGGATCCTGTAATCGGTATAACTGTGGACTTCTTTACAAGAAGTCAAATATAACGGTAGTCCCTACTCGAGGAAAATCGGTAATGGTATGCTAGTTCTACCTCCCACTAGCGAGAGCTATAACGGTAATCTATAATTACTAGGTGCACCAGGTCTAACAAACCCGCTGTTAGCTACGGGATCCTTCAATATCTACTTCTATTTATACTTGTCTCTGTAATCCGTATATACTCATAGAAAATATTTTAAAACAATATAGGACATTTCGGTTCTTATCAAATCATATAATTCTTTTCGATAACAGTAAATTCAAGTAACGGTAAAACAGATCTAGTGACAACGAAAATATTTAAAGCAACGGTAATCTTCTCAAATAACTATTTCGGTATCATATCGAGTAAAAGACTTGTCCCACATGCAACTTAAAATAATCGGCAACATATTCATATTAAAAATCATGTGTAAATCATGCAAGTTATGAAAATACAAGTTACGGTAAGATTACTACTCACAGTACTCGTGCCAAAATTCCAAATGCTTCACCTCGAGCAATTCGTACAACTTCCTCCAATTCAATCTATAATTACATAATATCGGTCTCATGTTAATTTCTATGTTTAGGCTAATTCATAGCTAATTTAGAATACCCAACCCTCAAGGTTCCATATTTGAATCTTAATTCGTTGAATTATATTCACCCACGGGATGAGTAATTATTAATCTATCAACTCCAACCTATTCATATAATATACCCGCTTAATTCATGAAAATGTGTATGGATTTCTCTTAGTCTCTAACCTCCTCTTCTGACTCAGACTCAAATCTCATATTATATTTGCTTAGTCTCGCGAAGAATCATATATAAAAACTACTATTTTTTCAAAAGAAGGAAAATTATATGCAATTACCTGGGCTTATCACTCAGACTACTGAAGAAGATGAAACAGTATTTGGCACTGAGGTAACACCAGAAACCTTTCCCCTTTTCGTTTTTCTCTATTGTTGCTTCTGCCGTGCCGTGATGTTTGTGTTGGCTAGGGGTTTCTCTTTTTTTTTTAAACCCTTTTTCTTTTGCTTTTAGTTTGGTTACGCCAAGACCTTTTTTTTCTTCTTTTTGATTTGGGCAGAGAAAGGGGCTTCGACCCTTTTCTTTACTTGTCTCTTTTTATTTATTTATTTGATTTGTTTTGTTTTTTTTAAAAGTTAGTTTATTATTATTTTGCTAATGACTAATACACCATTATGAAAAATATAGGGTATCACATGAAGTAGTCAAAAATCCCAACTGGATTGCAGCTGAGATTGCAGCCTTAGAGAAAAATAAGACATGGAGTATTGTTAATCTACTTGCTGAAAAGGTTCCAATTGGCTGTAAATAGGCGTTCAAAGTCAAAAACACAGCCTCAGGAGCAGTAGAGAGATATAAAGTCTGACTTGTGGCTAAGGGGTACAGTCAACAAGAAGGCCTAGATTCATTGAAACATTTTCACTTGTGGAAAAAATGGTGACTGTTAGGTCTGTAGTTGTTGTTGTTGCTGCTAAACACTGGCATATATTTCAAATAGATGTACATAATGTATTTCTACAAGAAGATCTTCTAGAAGAGGTCTATATGGATATCTCTCAGGGGTTTGCTAGCCAGGGAGGGTATCATAGAGTCTGCAAACTACATAAGTCTTTATATAGACTTAAGCAGGCTCCAAGACAATGGAATAAGAAGCTGACTGATGCACTGCTACAACTAAGCTTTACTCAAAGTCATTTTGACTATTCCCTGTTCACAAAGCACATACATAATGAGTTGGTTGTGGTGTTAGTCTATGTAGATGATCTCCTTGTAACTGGAAGCTGTAATAAGTTGATTCTAAAGACAAGGAGTGACTTGAAGCTGAAGTTCAAAATGAAGGAACTGGGAGAGCTTAAGTTCTTCCTTGGTAAAGAATTGCCAGATCAGACAAAGGGATTATCATGAGCCAAAGAAAGTATGTTATGGAACTAATTGCAGAAATGGGACTTGGAGGTGCTAAGCATGTTGGTGCACTACTGGAAACTAATGTGAAGTTGACATCTACTGAGTATGATTCATCTGTCAAAAATAATGAAGCTACTGAGGACAAGTCACTCACTGATGCAGGCACATACCAAAGGCTTGTTAGCAGACTACTATATTTGACAATGACTAGAGTTGGTATTGCCTTTGTAGTGCAAGTGCTTAGTCAGTTTATGCACAAGCCCAAGCAGTCACACATGGAAGTTTCTCTAAGGGTAGTAAGGTATATTAAAGTTAAACCTGGACTTGGCCTGCTAATACCAGCTGAAAGATCAGACAAACTACAAGCTTTCTGTAACTCAGACTGGGGAGGATGTCTACAAAGTAGGAGGTCTCTTACTGGCTATCTAGTGAAGTTTGGCAATGCTCTAGTGTCATGGAAATCTAAGAAGTAAGACATTGTTGCTAGAAGTTTAGCTGAAGCAAAGTTTAGAAGCATAGCTTCCACTGTTGCAGAACTAACCTGGCTGACTGGCCTGTTTAAGGAATTAGAAGTAACTGTGTGGTGGCCTATAGATCTCTACTATGACAGCAAAGCAGGCATTCAGATTGCAGCCAATCTTATATTCCATAAAAGAACAAAACACATCGATATTGATTGCATTTTATTTGGGATAAAATAGTTCAAGGAATGATCAAAACACGTCATGTGTCTACCAAAGAGCAGCACGCTTATGTTTTGACTAAAGGCTTAGGGAAGCTACAACATGACTATCTTGTATCCAAGCTGGGGTTGAAAAACATATTTCAACCATCAGCTTGAGGGAGAGTGTTGAAGAGTGAAAGTTGTTACTTAGGAAGTTAGTAGTCAGTCAGTTAGTTAGTAGTGACAGTTGTACACAACTGTTAAGTAAAGCAACAGTAGCAGTTAGTGATAGTTATATATATGAGCTATACATTGTATTTGTACTCAGATCAATTCAATGAAAAACAACTCATTTTTTTCTGATCATTGTTCTCTCTGTTTTCCATCGTCTTCTTTCCTATGATCAGTGAGAACTTTCTCTAGATTTGATGAAAACTATTTTTATTGTGAGAGCAATGCGAAAGAAATGGCATAAGTGATGAGGTGTTAGAAATGAAAATCAATATATATATATATATATAAGAGGGAATGGAAAAGATGACTTGGCACCTCTCTTTGTCCAAGGATTCTATTTATCTTTTTTTTCCTTTTATTGACTTTTTCTCTACTTTTTTATTTATTTAATAATAAGAATAAATGTTATTGTAGTTATAAGAATAAATGTGTAATTTATTACTACACTAATTCATATTCCTTACCGTTAGAAAACTAAGAGTCCCAATATTTAAGTGCCTCAATTATTATCACAACCTTTCATATTTCTTATGGATCATTTTATAAGCTGCCCAAAAATTATTTTACTCAAAGTTATGGAAGCTGATTTAAGCCTCAAATTTTGAGGTAAGTTCACATGTCTTTGTCTCTGTAACTGAGTTGATGCATTTACCTAATAGCTATGTAAAGTGATGTTCTTTTGACACCTTTTTTTTCTTCTTCTTCTTTCTGTTTATGTAAAGATACATGATGAAGAATTTGTTTGTGTTCTTCGGTCTCTTCATGACCCCCAGTACTCTGGTAAGCCTTGATTTATTACTTGTAAGAAAGAATATATATANTTACTTTTGTCATGTGTTTTTTCTTTCAATTTGGATCACAAAAAAGTGATATTCAGATATTTCCAGAATCAGCTTCAAGGAACACTCATTCCAATTTAGAAGTTCAAAACTTTTACAGCATATCAAGACCAACAAAATTACTCATGTATCGATAAAGGTATGTTTACTTAAACTATAAGAATATTTTCTCTTTTTTCTGCTTTATTTCGGGGTCACATACAATGTGTTCGAGGGTAAGGCATCTAAGCATTTAAGTTTTTCAAATTAAAGTAACAGCTTAGTGTAAGTGCATTTCTGATTTGTGCTTGTAGGGGAGTACAATAATAAAAAAAGATAAATAGAATTTAATTTGATTGAGTGCTTTTACGCTTTTCTATTTAATTTCTC